TCTATCAACTAGAGAATGGATGGATACAGAAATTGTGGTCCATCCATTAAATATTACTCAGTAATAAACAAGACCATATGTACATGCAAACACATGGTCTCAAAAGCCTTATACCTAGTGAAAAAAACAGCTACATGCTGCGTGATTCCGTTTATCTGACATTCTGGAAAAGGCAAAAGACTAAGTATAGAAATCGGGTAAGTGGTTGTCAGAGGCTGGAAGGAAGGCACAAATACAAACGAACCTGAGAAAACATTTTGTGGTCATGGAAATGTTCTTATCCTGATTACAGGAGCTCACTACTGTATATATTGGTTAGAACTCATCGAATTAAACACTTTAAAAAATTAAGAAATCTGACTTTCAAAAATGAATTATAAAAATAAAGGATGCTGCCTGGCTTCAAAGTGTATGTTAAGTGACAGCTTCCAGTTAACTGTTCAGAACACTTTCAGCTTATATAAATTCACTTAATTCAAAGGTATATGGTTATTTTCTTTTGATCATAAAGTGAATAAAGTCATTTTACATGAAACAAATTTTGGCCTTTTATCCAACTTCATCCTCATAAAATTAAAATAGTATATTTCATCAATTGATAGATATTTCCATCTCCTATTTCTAAAAGCAAATTAAAGAACACTCCAAATCATCCAAGAAAGTAGCTTCCAGATGATAAACTGACTAGAATGGCTAGAACAAGGAAGGCTGGGGACTTGCCCAGCTTTTACATTTAGTTCCATAAACATCCTCTTCATTTAAGCAAAAAAGATGAGAGCGATTCTTGTATATTCAGCAGCTGAGACTCCTGTCAGGCTGGTACAGGGGACCCTTACGGAATCCCCAAAGGCTCATCACATAGTCCCTTAAGAAGATGACAATAGCCAACCAGTACAATTACCAGCTCCATCAGGCCACTTACTCCATCTATTTGTGTTTCAGATGCTGCATTTCAGTAAAATAAGGTCATTATCCCAGAAGCAGTTTTAAGGGGGGCTAATTCACCTCTTAAAAGATAAGCTTACCCAAAGCGAAGAGGCTGATGACCTTACAAACTCATCCAGGAGAGGTTCAGCCTGAGGGACGACTGGTTTATGACTACTAACTACACTCCAAGAACCCAATATTCAGTATGAGTTGCAAATAGTCAAGGGCCATATCTCTAACACCTGTGGAAATCAACTACTTCTCACTACAAATAGAAATGGTCTTGCACTTATGATGGTCTTTACCTCAGTCAACACCACGGCCGGCCCCTAGGGGAAAGAATACTCTAGTCCTGACAAAAGGACCACCATCTAAACTACTCCCATCCCTCTTTCCAACCTTTATAGCCTCTGCCTTGTGACTACTACCCCCAGCTGGCAGGAATCTCAGTGAGGAGAGATGAGAGAGAGGTTTATATGACAGTGAAGCACAGGTGGTTTTGAAGCAAAGGCTGAGGGAGCTAGAAGAATGCAGAACCCTCCCACCACCTCCAATTCAGTAAACATGAAAATAAGTGGCCTCTGGCTGGTGCAGGGAAAGTCTTAGCAAGGGAAAAAGGTACAAATTAAGACAGAGAGGAAGGGAGAATGATTTGTGAAATAGAGAGCTTGTCAAATAAGTGAGGCAAAGTGGATGTGTCCATCTTCACACCCCTCTTTGCCTAATTAACTCCTACTTATCCTTTAAGAGTAAATTTAGCAGTTATGCCTCTAGAGGAGCTTTCCCTGTTCTTCACATCCCCCCAAATCTTGATGTAGTACTACTTCAGGGTGTCACCACAGCACCTATGAGAGCATATATTATTATCTGCTGCTGTAAGTGTTTTTATTAAGATATAATTCACGTACCATAAAATTCAAACATTTAAGGTGTACATGTCAATGGTGTGTAGTATATTTTACAAAGTGGTGCGATCATCATCAATATCTAATTCCAGAACATTTTATCACCCCTAAAGAAACCCCACAACTGTTAGGAGTCATTCGTTCTTCATTCACCCACCCTTCCAGCACATGGCAATCACAAATCTGTTCTGTCTGTAGGGATTTACCTATTTCTGGACATTTTATATAAATGAAACACTATGTAGTCTCTTTGTCTGGCTTCTATTGCTTAGCCTAACACTCTCAAGGTTTAACCATGCTGTAGCATGTAACAGTACTTCACTCCATTTTATGGCCGAATAATATTCTACCATATATCTATACCATATTTTTTCATCTATTCATCAGTTGATGGACATTTGGGTTATTTCACTTTATGGCTACTATGAATAATGCTGCTATGATCACTGTTCTTAAGTTTTTAAGTGGACATATGTTTTCAATTCCTTTGGAATATATGTATGTATACATGTATGTGTGTACACATACACACACACACACACACACACTTAGGAGTGGAATTGATGGGTCATAAGGTAACTATGTTTAACTTTTTGAAGAACTGCCAAAATGTTTTCCATTTTATATTCCCACCAGCAATGTAATTGTCTTTCATTTATCTAGCCCTCAAATTTCTTGACAGCAGGGACGAAGCCTTCAGTTCTATCCTACCCCCAGCACCTACCACAGTGCCTAATGCAGTATGGTTGTCTGTGAGTATTTGTGAAGTGAATGGCTGAATAAAAGCCCAAAATAATTTTCTTCACCTTATGCCTTCTTCTGGGAAAATACTTATCAAACTACCCTCCTCTCTATATCTTTCACTTTCATGTCTCCAGACTCCTTCCGAAATTACTATAAATAAGCGATGTACTCTTAGGTGCCAGCACTTCCTGAAACGGGGTCTCCACGACTGCTAGCAGAGAAGACTGTGACCCACTTGGGCTGCTCACCTGCACATTAGTGAAGTTAGTACAAGATAACTTGACAGGAGAATCAAGTGTTTCCAAGTTGGTACCAGTTGGCAGGCAGTCAGACTTTCGTGCACGTTTTCAAAGAGATCCTCCAGCAAATGTAGGCACAGGACATGTTTGGCTCTAGGACACTCTCTGCTGGCCCTGCTGCCAATAACATGACAATGGACCTGGCAGGGAAGGGAGTAAAGTGACTCCCACATGGGGCAAGAGGAAACATATGGGGCCCACGCAGTACAAAGGCAGGCTGAGGAGATCTGCAGATGAAAGGGCCTTCCAATTCTAGCAGCTCTGGGTGGGGATTAGTCTCCCACGACTGGCATTTAAGTAGCCTAATGACTTCCAGCTCTGGCCAGTTAATGAGACCAGGGCACAGAACAAATACCCACTTTGATCCTCAAACACAAGATGGACATGAACATGGATGAAATTTACACTTGAAACATGACAAACTCCTCTTGATACGAAATAGGATACATCTCTAATAAAATATGAACATACATTAATTCCTTGTAAAATCCCACAAATACCTTTCTACTTCTGCTCCTGACTGATAAACATTTACTGATACCTACAGAAAGAGAAGGCTCCCTTGATGTTTTATAGAAGACATTTCACATTGAACACATGTACTTTGCATCATTTCAACTTTCTAAGACTAGAAGTCAAGTATGCCTGTGTTGAATAAATTATTGAAGCTGTACATAAATTACCTGTGTTAAGCAGAATGTCCTCCCAAGCATGCCCATGCCCTAAGCCCTAGAACCTGGGAACATGTTATTTTACATGGCAAAAAAGACTTTAGATATAATGAAGGTTATAGATTTTAAAATAAGGTGATTACCCTGGATTATCAGATAGACCCAGTGTGATCGCATGGCCCCTTAAAAGGAGAGATCTTTCTCTGGGTGGAGTTAGAAAAGATGCTACTGAAGGGGAAAAGTCAGATTCAAAGGGTGGGGGGATCTCGACCCACGCTTGCTGGAACAGAACTACACAGAAAGCATGAAAATGAATGTGGGCAACCTATAGGAGTAAAGATCAGTTCCCAAATGACAGCTGACAAGGAAAGGGGGCCTCAGTCCTACAATCACAAGGAACTGAATTTGGCCAGCAACCTGAATGAGCGTAGACGCAGACTCATCCTCAGAGCCTCCAGGAAAAAAAAAAATCAATCCAGCCGACACCAGGATTTCAACCCCATGATGAGCAGAGAACCCATCTGAGCCACTGTACTCTTGACTGCTGACTTACAGAACTATGAATAAACATTTGTGTTATTTCAAGCCCCTGAGTTTGTAGTGATGTGCCATGGCAGCAATAGAAAACTAACATATTACCAAATGTCAGTGTTTCAAATTCCAAAATCCTATGGTTCTGAAACACAATAACCACTACCACAATCAATTAAAATTGCACATTCCCAGAACCAATTTATACATATTCCACTATTAAACGTTTGTTTTGGTTTTTTATAACAAATACAAGAGAGATTTCTACCAATAATTACTGGGTATTTTTAAAAATGTTATCTAAGTATAATATACCAATTTCTAAGTAATTATACTCTCCAACATTTACAACTTTAGCCTTCATTTTTAAGAACTAAATAGATAATTACTTTGTCAAGTCTTTTTCTAACTGTCTTATTAGTTTGCTACAGCTCACTTTAGGTGTACGTCTCTTTCATAATATTTAATGTATCTTATATAACCATATATTGGTAACATTAGCAAAAGCCAGCGATTGTTAACAGAATTAAATGAATCAATGTTTACAAAAATGTGATGACAACATAAATGATGCCAAAGGTTTCCAGGCCTCAAAAGTACAAAGAACTCTAAGGCAAAAGTCACTCATATTTGTACTATATAAATACATAAAGCCAATAATATTAAGTGAATTTTTCGCAGGATGTTATTGGTATGACATTGGTATTTATATTTCTTAGATTAATAGGTCAAAGATGCATGTGGCTTCCTTGCAAGCATACCACAGTTCCTCCAGTTCCTGATCTGCAGAACACACACTTAGAATGTTCCAAGTTCTATGCTCAACCAATGTTTCTAAATTACAGCAATGCCAACAGAATTGGATTTTTCCAGAGACGCTACAATATATTGTAAAAATCTAGATTTGGAACATGGATACTTACTTTTTCTGAGTTCTTTCTGCCAGCCTTGCAATTTCTATAGCTGCCTTCCTTGCTTCAAAATCTTCCCTTTTCACCACCTCTCCAGTCCCTCGGTAGCCTAGCTCCACCAACTGGCGGGCGAGGACTTCATCCTACACAGAAAATCAATTGTTAGATTTGTGGACAGCTTATGTTATCCAACGCATACTGAAAAACTGTTTTAAATGGAAAATCAAATTGGTTATTTAAAAATGAGACAAAATATATCAGACGTCAAAAATTCTAACAACTTCTAAAAATTTCTAACAATTCTAAAAATGTCTAACAATACTGTACTTCTGTAAACATCTGATTTGTCATCCCTTTCCCATAGATGTAAGATGAAAATCAAAAAATAACATCAATCACTAAATTTTCTCTAAGGGATTGGAGGACAAAAGTCTGTTGTGTTTTTAATCAATTTATGAAAACAGCTGCAGATAATTAGTAGAGTATCTTTAAAACAATAAAACTAGAGACAATAGTACTCATACAAGAAAGGCTTAAAAAAAAACCAATCACACAAAAAGACAATTGGGTTGCTTTTAGAAAAGTCAACATTTTAAAGACCTAATTCCTTGAAGTAAATTAACTGATGACACAGAGCACTATAACTTCAAATACAAAATAAAGAGCAGATGAATTTCTCATTTAAATAGAAAGATAGTTTCCATATAATGTTGGTGCCAATAAAAACTGAAAAGTAGAAACCCAAGATGACCACAAAAAGCTTTAAATTGGCATTTTTCCCACAACCCGTTGGACCTTCTGTATTTCAGTTACTATAAGAATTGTCTAACACATTTTTGTCACTTGCATCACATATTCAAAACACAATATGGTTTCCCATCATTTGAAGGTGTCACTTTACCTAAAGCTACTAATATAAAGACTAAATTATTACATAAAAATATGTATATAGCAATAATGGTCCTTATATTATCTTAATTAAATATGAAATAATCTGAAATGTAGTGAAAATGGTACATATTTTATTGTTATAGACCCTTACTTAATACATCACTATTGCATGCAAGAACTGCCAAACAGAATTAGTAAATGAGAAAACTTTAGGTGCATTGTAGTCATCTATTCAACTCATGGGAGCTATTTTAAAGTTCAAACTATGGAAACAAAACCCAAAAAATGTATACACTACCAATCTAGAAAACTTGCTACTTTTCTTTGCTAAACAGTAAAAGTAAATACTGCACTTTGTGTAGCAAGTGTGAGTACATTTGCCAACCAAATACCGTGCAAAGCATGGGGCCTGGGGCAGGCTATCTGCTTCTCTTTGACTTATTCCTTCTTACTATCCTGGGATCCTTAGTCTCTTTAGTGTGAACCACAAAACTGAGCAAATGCCTCCACCTAGTGGAATTAATATTTAATACAAAAAGCAGTGAAGAACTTGGGTTTAATTTTCAGAAGTGAAATGATTAGAGTGTACATTTTCTTTATATCTTACTAAAAGCGAGCCTACGGGAAGAACTCTCAGCTTAGCTATGGGAGACTGTGGGGTTCTAGCAGAATATAAATTGTTTGAGGTCAACAGAGTGTTTTATATAATAAAGGCCATGAAAAAGTTGCTGTATTAACTCGGTATATGGAGTGAATCATGCATTCCTCTGTACCTTACCCGGGCCACAGAAAATTACTCGGATAGTAATGCACTCATCTACACTAATGTATATTGCAACAAATGACACGATCTACTTTGAAATAGGTAGAAAGTTGAAGTTGTTTGCTTCACTCACTATCCTCATGCTCTAACTGATGAAATCATGAGTCATTTCTCAACTTTAAATGGTCAATTATCTTTAAAAATAATTTTCTTGAAAGAAACTGAGAAATAAAGTATTTTATCCATTCACATACTTAGCATTTCTGGTGTTATTCATTCCTTTGTGGAGATCCCAGTCTCCTACCGATATATGATTTTCCTTCCACCTGAAAAACTTTGATATTTCTTGCAGTGTAGGTCTGCTAACAACAAATTATCTTGGCTTTTGTTTTGGTGAAAAAAAAAAATTTATTTCACCTTAATTTTTGAAGGACGTTTTTGATGGTTTAGTGTACCAGAGGTTGCCTTTTTACCTCTCAGTACTTAGGATGTTATCCCATGGTCTTATGATTTGTATTATTTCTGATAAGAAGTGTTCAGTCTTTCCTGTCTGTTTTATTCTACATAATGTGTGTTTTTACTTTAGATTCCTTTAAGATTTTATATTTATCATTGGTTTTCAGAAAATTAAGATATTCCTTAGAGATTTCTTTGTGTTTTTTCTGCTTGGAATGCTTTGTACTCCTTGGCCCTAGGGATTTATAGTTTTCACAAAATTTGGAAACTTTTAGCCATTATTTTTTCAAATATATTTTATCTCCTGCTTCCTTCTGATCCTTCCAGGATTACACTTACATTGTTTTGAAAGAAAAATATATTATCACTTTTTTATCAAGCTCTAATGGTTTTGAGTGGAACAGTTCATCTTAGTACAAACAAGTGATTAGCCATGATAGTCAAAGTATATAAAATAAGGCAGTATTCTTTTATTAATGATTAATGCTTTTCTTTTAACTCATGTGATCATGAGTCATCATTAACTTTTGGATGCTAGCAGGTTGGGGGTTATAGCTGTAAGGAGGCATCATGCAAAACAGAACCCAGAGGCGTCGGCCAAGTGGCTCAGTTGGTTAAGAGCACGAGCTCTGAGCAACAGGTTCACTTGTTCAATTCCCACATGGGCCAGTGAGCTGCACCCGAGCTGAGCTGCTGCTGAGCTGCCAACAGGTGGCAAGATGGCTCAGCTGGTGAGAGCACGTGCTCCTAACAACAAGGTTATGAGATGGACTCCTGCATGGGATGGTGGGTTACGCCCACCCGCAACTAAAATTGAACAGGGCACCTTGAACTGAGCTGCCAACGGGCAGCTGGAGGCAACTGGACTTGGAGCTGAGCTTGCTGTGCCCTCCACAACTAAGACTGAAGGACAACAACTTGGCTGTTCCCCTTCCCCAATTCCCCAATAAAAAAATAAAAATAAATAAAAAATAACAGAACCCAGAGGCTTACCCCTGAAGAGAAGGCTACAGATTTGGGGCTGCACATGCACTGTTCCCTCCTATTGCTGGTTTCAAGATGTACAGCTCCCCACACCGACACCCCCAAACACACACACACACACACACACACACACACACACACACACACACAGCCTTTGGACCAGAGCCCATTTTCCCCCACATGCCTGAGGCAAAGCACCTCCGCACTGTTTCTTTGGGCGGGGTGGGTGCAAGGGTAAATGAGGATTGGGGTTTGTGTGTTGCGCTGTGTGCACCAAACTCTTCCAAAGGAGTCTGGGACAAAGGGGACCCAGCATCTGGGGTACCCAGGTATTTCTCACCCGAAGAACTAAAAAGGGAAAAAATAAAATAAAAAGTCTACAGCGGCTAGAATGCTTGTGATTGCCCCACAGGCTACTGGGTTCAGTTGACTTTTGTTTGTGTCATTTGTTGTTATGTTGTTTATTGCTGAAGAACAGTTATTATTGTAGCTCAATCTTAGATTTCTTTACTAAACTTGCTGATTTGTTCTAATAGGGATCCAGTTAATTTTCTTGCATTTCCATGGTGATGAAATCATACTGCCTAGAAATAATAATATCCTGACTCCTTCTAAATATTTATGACACTTTTCTTTCATTGTATCATTGCTTTGGCCAGACTGCCAATAAAAAGTGAAGAATGCTAGCAAGCACTTTTATCATGCATCTGATTCTAATGCTAAAATGTTTAACAACTAAATATGAAGTTTACTACAGCTGTTTGCTATGTACTCTTTATCAAATTATGAGTTTAGAATTTTGTCCTATGCTTTTTCTGCATCTATAGAGAATGTCATATTTTTTAAATTTGTTAATGTCATGAACTCAACCTTGCATTCCTATGATAAATCACACTACTCTTAATCTGATTTATTATTTCTTAATATATTCCTGGATTCATTTTGCATTTCTTTTCATTCAGTTCATAAGTAAAATTAGTCATCAGCTTTCTATTTTGTGCTATCCTTTTCTGAGTTGATGTCAGGATTCCACGAGTCCTGTAAAATGATTTAGGAAAATTAAAATTACATCCTTTTCTTTTTAATTTTTAATTATACAAGTCAGACATAAATACCTTCTCCTTGTGAAAATTAAGACCTGGCATTGTGTATTTGCATTGTGTTGACTTAGCTAAGCCAGAAATTAGTTTCCCATAATGTTCTTTCCTTATATAGTTACAAGTTAGGTTAGGCCACAAGCGACTTTTGCAAAGATTTGGAAGGCAGAGGAAAAGGAGCAGTCATACTCCTAGTTTTCGCAGGATCTCCTTCAGCTTCTCCAACTCCTGGGCCGTGAGCATGTTCATGTGCATGTTCAGTTCTGTGACTGAAGGTGCCAGTTTCTACTGCAGATCACCCGTCATCAAAGTTGGAGGCGTGGAGGACATGAGGGCCTGATACAAGTTCCAGATTGTCCTGTAGATTCCAGCTCATCCTTGCAGACCCCAGTTGAATGTGCTTCCCCTACTTCTCATGTACCTTTCCTTCCTGGCTGCCTGTCCTAATGACTTCGGGCTCCAGCACCAGACACACCGAGGGCTGCCTCAGCGCTGTGCTGCCCCACAGCTGTGCTGTCCCATAACTGAACTGTAACACTATTGAGCTGTTCCACAGCCGTGCTGTTTAACGCAGCCGTGCTGTATCACAATTGAGCTGTTTGCACTAAATACAGTTTCCTCCTTCACTGCACCCCAAATTGGGGATTACGATTGGCATTGAATTGGCACCAACGACCATTGGTTGACACTTAGCATAATGTCCTCAAGGTTCATCCATGTTGTAGCATGTGTCATAATTTCCTTCCTTTTAAAGGCTGAATAATATTCCATTATAGATATATACCACATTTTGTTTATATTGTACATTCATCTATCAATAGACACGTGGGTTGCTTCCACCTTTTGGCTACTGTGCATAATGCTGCTATGAACATGGGTGTACAAATATCTGTTTGAGTCCCTGCTTTCAATTCTTTTGGCTATATACCCAGAAGTGCTATTGCTAGATCAT